AAAAAGTCTGATCTGAACAGAAATGGTCAGAAGGAGGTAGGGGTCTTGAAGACAGAGGCTCTTTTGTAGATGTCTCAGTCACCAGGCTAGTTCTGACTCACGGCTCTGCTCTCTGTAGTTTTTCTCAGGTCTCTCCCTATGTTTTGGAATCTCACTGCCTGCACTCTCATGGATTCAGTACTTTAACATCCCTCACTATGGATTCCAGGTAAACTGTCCTCTCTGGCACTGTACTGCGTCCTCCAACTGCAGTAAAGGAAACGAATCTCAACTGTGCCCTTTCCCCAGCTGTGGGCTCTAAGCAGCTCTGACCCAAAAAAATTCTTCTAGGAGCAAGAGAGGAGAACATTTCTATAAGAGTTAGTTAGCCCTAGGTCAGTAAGTCATCTGAGTTATTTGAGGGAAATGAAAGCTGAGAGAAATCTCAGTGTAAAGAGAAAAGATGGATGATAGGATGAAAAACACACATGGAAAAGGAACTTTTATTCTCCTGTTTCATTTGTTGTCTTGAGACTTACTGCCTCTGTCTGCTAACCTAGGCCTAGTCCTGCAAGCTTCTAGCCTCCCTACACTCTAACCTAGGCCTAGAACATTTCAGCCTCTGAGACTGACTCCCTAATAAGCTCACCCTTTCTTGTTCTTACTGAGCTGGGGTGGCTGGTTCAACTCAAACTCCTACCCCAGGTAACTTACTCCAACTTGCTTCTCTCTCTGCCTTTGAGTTGCTCTGCTTGGCCTCAAACTAACTCAAGCAATCTGCTCTAATCTCCTGACTCCTTTTCATTCTCTGGCTCATTTTGTCTTCATCTGAGTTCTCTTTCTGCAACCGTCTTTCTTTACTGAGCCTGTAAATCTGCCGTCACTCTCTCTCATTCTCTGTGTTGTTCCCTTAAGTATCATCTCTTTCTGTTCTGTGAGAGAGTTGGGCATATCCTGTTCTCTCATATCTTTCTCTAATTGGTTACTTTCTCTGCCACTCAATTGAACAACATATCCAAACATGGGTGCTTCCTCCTACAGACTTAACTTTACCTTCATTGTTTGCGATTAAATGCCTGTACCACCACACCTGGCCCAAAGTTTTGTTTCCCTTTTTTTTTTTTTTTACCTTGAAACTTGCTCTTTACAAGGCTGTCCTTGAACCCAAATCTGCTTGCCTCTGTCTCCTGGATTAAAGGTGTGTTTGTATTCCTGCTGGATCACATAGACCTAGAAGGTCTTTGGATGTGCTCTCTTGCCAGAGCAGCCTTGTTCTGAATTGAAATTCCTCTACACCTATCGTCATGTTTCTACCCAAAAAAGGAAAGGATAAAAGGATCAGAGACAATGATATATAGTTCATATCAGGAAATTAAAAGAAACAAATCATGTGATACCCATAACCTTATTGGCTTTACAACCCTATCTCCGTAGGAAAGTTTGTCTTCAAATACTTTCTAACTCTCACAGTTATAATTGCTTTTGATGAAAAGCAAACAATATTGTTATTATAAATCAATAACACTCACTGAATGAATTTTGTTTTTATAATTTTAATTATAGTGTTTATGGGGTTATGGAATTAGAAGGTATGGAAGGAGGAGGTCTGGGGTAATGTAGTTAGAGAACCCTTCTCTTAGTTGATTGGAAGCACCATCATTTCAATCCTAAGCCTCCTGATTGCTTTGCTGAGCAGACTGTAAACCTGGTAGGTTTTGTGTTTAAGAACAATTGCAAATAGCAGTAAAGATTGAACTTAAAGTCGTCTGTATTTATTCTCATGGAAACTCTTGGAAATATAAAACTATTTGTCTTTCTGGGTTCCTGTTTGTGTTACAGGCTTTGTTGCACAATGAATTCTTGGGACAAACCTTCTGTCTAGAACACAACACAGAAGAACTCAGCAGATGTCAGAACCAAATAATGTAAGCTTGGGTTCAGTGCCTCAGTGGGGACACAGGATGCTGTACACTCAGAGGGCTGCCTGTCCTTTCAGGGTTGACCCTCTTCTATGCCTGTTCCCCAGAGTGAGTCATGTGCACCAAGCACGTGTGAATGTGTTTGGACCCTTCTGCTCCACATTGTAGATAATATGCAGAAAGTGTTCTTTGGGGCCTCTTGACAATTGGTCTTGGTGTTTTGGTTGTGGATTTGAGTTTCTTGTTTCAGAACATTTGAGTTGGACATGGGCTGCTCTGATAGTCTAGCAAGGGCACAGAGTTTCTACATGTATACATTACAGTTCTGTGGGCCAAGCCCAAGAATGCCAGGGCAGCAAGGGTGAACTGTGATGAGCTTTGCCTGCCAGCATTCAGGCCTTCTCTCTGCCTCACACACTGGAAGACTTCAAGAAATCAAAGGTGTGTGTGTGTGTGTATGTGTGTGTGTGTGTGTAAAATGTCCTATCAGAGGACATGTCTTGCAATTGAAGAATCATATATTTCAGTATGTTGGGATGGAAATCTCATTTTTGTCCAATGCCATTAAAATAGAAACAGAGTTAATAAAATGTAACTAATAATAAAAATAAAAAATGAAATAAAAATAGAAACACAGATTCTGAAATAAAATTAGAGTGGATTGTTGTAAAGTTTCAATACCTTCACTTTCTATGATCGTTCTCATATTTTGATTTTGATATCTAAACAAGAGAGGATAAGCTCATATTACATCTCATGGATATTCAAAATAATAATGAACAATAGAAATGCAAATTTGTGCTTTGAATTACTGTTGAGATAACCTGAATTGTGGGGATCTTATTTCTCCTCCCTCCTGGTGTGGTCTGGCACCTGTCTAATACAAATTCCTTATCAGTTTCTGGACGGGAGGACATAGATGATGTCATACTCACAGGTTTGTCCTCACAAAAGGAAGAAAAAGAAGAAATCTGCTCTTTCAGCAGATTTGTGAGCTGCCAAATCCAAGAGATACAAGGGAGTGGAGGGACACAGGGGTGGAACTGCACAGCAGTGATTGTAGCTGTTTGCAGAATTTTCAGCAGCTGCTTTTGTACCCTGTGTCAGGACCATGGCATCCTGCTGTGCTCCCAGTCTGCTAAGGCTCTGCTCTCACCCAGGCTCCACTGTCACCCAGGCTGCTGGGGATGTCCTATAGCTAAGCATCTGCGGTTGTCACTGCAGCCTTAGTGCAGGAGCTGACAGGACCTGACAGACTCCTGTCAGAAACCCTTGATCTCCCCAGTCTAGAATTCTGTGCTGTGTTCTTTCCCATGACTGTCTCATGGCTCAGCTGAATTGCACAAAGCTTTGACCTCTTTGGAAGGTCTTTATGTGTTGTTAGGAGCTGAGGATTTCTGCTTCAGGAGTAGCAAGAACGTGATCGGTGCTTTTGTCCCTGCAGAGAGCAGCCTTGTAGATTTAGACATGAATGTGTGACCTTGTAAGTCTACAAAGTTGGATTATAATGTGACTCTGTAAATGGGGCCAAATTCTTTAAGCCTGCTTCTGTTTTAAGTGCATGTGGTAACTACTCCCGTTTGGATTGTTTTTTAAATTAACTAAGGTACATGTTTAGATTGACTAGAATAATATATAACGAAATTGTAAGCATCTGATGATGTCTATTAAATATAAAGAAGAAATTTTTAATGATATGTTGAAACCATGGTTTTAAAGGGAAGTATCAGTGAATATAGTAAATAACCTTTGACTTTGTGTGTGTGTTGAATTTCAGATGTTCTGGTGAAGAGTTCTTGACAATACAGGGCATTGAGCTCTCATCGTGGGGCTTCTGGAAGAATCACGTGGCCTTAGCTTCTATAATGAGTATCCTCTTCACTTCTGCTTATGTGCAACTACACCACAGGAAACTGGAAGTTCTCAGGTCCTGGGTGAGAAAGTCTCTACAGTCATTTAAATAGATGTGGTCCCAAACTGTCTTCTGAATGTTTATAATTATGCTCATGGACAACTGCTACAGCCAGCATTACCCAGAGAAGATTCCATCATTGTGAACAGTGATGAATGCAGAGACCCATGGCTGCTCACAGTCCCAAGAGTAAGCGATACTTGAGGGCTTAGCCCCAAACAGGACACCTACAGCACCCTCTCCAAAGCTTAGGACATTGTAGAAAGTGTGCAAGAGCCAGAAGATGAGAAGGGCTGGAAATGCGATATGGTGGGCATGACACAGCCAGGGCAACCATGGGCTGTCTCCCAACACCACAGCTACCTGCAGAACACTGGGCCCCTCATCAGCAAGGGAAGGATCACAGAGAAACACAATGGCCCCACCCCCATTCTCAGAACTACCTGCTGCTGGGGGATCATGGGAGTGAGGCTGTCACTGATTTCATATGTATCCTCACACCTGAGCCTGCCATGCTCCATTGGAAATTCTGAAGCCCAGGATCACACAGCTGTGTTTAAACTCTGGGGGTCACAACACAAAATCCCAAGATATGACCATGACAAAGAAACCTGTAAAGAGAAATAGTTGAAGCAACTGTAAGGGAGATAGGAAATGTGGGCTGGATGGGATGGGGGAGTGTGGCTAAAATTCATTATATAAATATATGGAATTGTCTAATTTTTAAGTAAAAATTACAAATATAAAAATAACTTTTTGTGCAAAATATCTAATGAAGATTTGTTTTCCTGTTTGGTTTCTGTTATATTGTAAATTAGCAATGATTAATTTTAAAAGTTTACAGAATATCAGCAAACTAAGTTATAATTGAAAGAGTTCAACTCCCCAAATAATGTTATGAAGATTTGCATGTTCATTCATCTTATCCGTAATAATAAAGTGAGACAATAATATTTTTTCCAGGAAAAGGAGAATTTGTCCTAGAAAATCTTACCTTCCTAACACCATTGCTGTCAGTTTCTTCATCTTCACAGTGAGAACATACACTATCCTCCCCCAAATGTAATAGCCAGTGGCTGTCTGATCAGAGGGGGAATATCAGGAGTTCAGGGACACCATCAGCTAGGTAGTGTGTTTGAGGCTAACCTGGGCTACAAAGGACACTACCTCAAAACAAAACAAAAACAAGCAAACAAAAAACCCACACATAATGAGCAACCATGAAAAACTGTATTTGATGATCCGATTAAGTTAGAGTTTCTATTTTCCTGATGAAAGGCTCTGATCACAAAGCCAGTCGGGGAGGAAAGGGTTTATTCAGCTTGCACTTCTATATTTCTGTTCTTCACCAATGGATATCAGGATAAAAATTCAAGCAGGGCAGGAGACTGCAGTCAGGAGCTGAGGCAGAGTCCATGGAGGGTGCTGCTCACTGGCTTGCTCCCCATGCCTTGCTCAGCCTGCTTTATTATAGAACCTAGGTTATATCCAAACATGGTCCTTGGTGGAGTATCAGTCTCAGAAAAGACCCCTGTGCCCAGATATATTTGGTCCTTGTGGAGCTCCTATCCTCTCCACGTCATACTAACTCCCCCTTCTTTCATTTCATTCCCTGCACTCTGCCGAAGGTTTGGTTATGAGTCTTAGTATCTATTTTGATACACTGCTAGGTAGAGTCTTTCAGAGGCTTTCTGCGGTATGTTCCTGTCCTGTTACTTGTTTTCTCCTACATCCAATGCTCATCCCATTTTTCTTTCTAAGTGAGGATTGATCATCTTACCCATGGTCTTCTTTTTTGTTTATCTTCTTTAGGTGTATAGATTTCATTATGTTTATCATATCTTATAGGTCTATATAAGTGAGTATATACCGTGTTTATCTTTCCTCTTTCTGGGATACCACACTCAGAATGATCTTTTCTAGATCCCACCATTTGCCTGCAAATTTCATGATTTCCTCATTTTTGTTTGCTGAATAGTATACCACTGTGTAAAAATACCACAATTTCTGTATCTATTCCTCCCTTGATGGACATCTGGGTTGTTTCCAGGTTCTGGCTATTACAAATAAAGCTGCTGCAAACATGGTTGAGCAAATGTCCTTGTTATGTACTTGAGCAAATTTTGGGTATATGTCTAGAAGTTGTATAGCTGGGTCTTGAGGAAACACTATTACTAATTGTATGAGAAAGCACCAGATTGATTTCCAAAGTGGTTGTACCAGTTGACATTCCCACCAGCAATGGAGGAGGGTTCTCTTTTCTCCACAACCTCTCCCATGGTAGCTCAGTAACCAATTGCTTTTCTCCCTAGTAACGAGAACAGCAACTATTTCTGACATGACTTCAATGGCAGGCTCTTTGACCTCCCCAACTCCCCAAGGGGGAACAGTCAGTCCTACTAGGCCACAGAGGAGGACTTTACAGCCAGTCCTGAAGATACCTGATAAAACAGTGTCAGATGAAAGGTGAGGAGGTCCTCTGTAATCAGTGGACTTGGAAAGGAGCAGGGAGGAGATGAAGGAGGGAGTGTGGGACTGGGGGAATGAGGGAGCGGGATACAGCTGGGATACAGCATTAATAAAATGTAACTAATAATAAAAATAAAAAATAAAAGTATTGAAGCATAAATAAATCTTAAAAAATATTATTATGAAAAAAAAAAAACCAAGGACCACCAGCCCAGAGATGGCTCCACCCACAGTGGGCTGGGCCCTCTTCCCAGTGGTCACTAGTCAAGAAAATACCTTACAGCTGGATCTTACAGAGGCCTTGCCTCAACTGACCCTCCTGCCTCTGTGCTGAGTCTAACTAGTTTCTAGTTGTCATAAAAGGAGCCAGTACAGATGGTAATTCCTGTGGTGCTGGAATGGCTCAGGAGCCTTGACTGGGGTCTTTGCTATAGTTGCAGTAAAAGACAGGGTTGTTGTGATATGAAGTGGCTCTTCTGATGATGCAGGGTAAACTCTGGATCTGAAAAGCCACTTAACATCAGGACTCACTCAGTGGTATGGAATTTGGGAAGAGGCTCTCCTGAGGAACACTGCTGAGACACAGATGTTTGGACCCTGACTTGCTCTTTAGTATCTGCAAAAGCTGCCTCTTGGAATCATTGTCCACTCCTCAATCTGCTAGTTCCCAAGATGCTTTGCAGCCACATAGATCACAGACTATGGGTTAGCAGCTGCTGTAGCTGCACCTTTCCAGATCTTTCCCTTGATCCTACAGTTTATCTTAGGTTCTTCCTTCAGCATCTTCCCATAACAGGAAAGGACTCGTCAGCAATAGGGGTGTTTTTAAACACAAAAAATTGGTGTATAATGTAACAACATAACCATTTTGGCTCTTGCTACAGACTCAGTGTTCCCATAGCTCTTCCTGTGACCCCTTTCAGTCCTTCTAGTAGATCATCCAATCCTTTGCGACTCTGATGGTGCTCTGAGTCTCCATCCAGCAGTCCTCTTGTCCAGCAGGGACCCACAGCTGCCACACTAGGCCAGTACTCAGCTAAGGGGCCTTCATCCTCCTTTCTGCCCTCCATTCTGGTATCTGTAGACTTACCCTCAGCCTGTGGAAGTCTGTCCATAGGAACCTATCACCATATCTTCACCCCCAGGCCTCAGGCTTTCTGAAATGACCCAGAGGCCTCCTATCTCTTTTCTGCCACCCTAAGGCTTTTTCTTCTAGCCAGCTCTATTCCTCTGAGTATCTGAGGACATGAAGAACAGCTCTCTACCAGGGCCTTCACAGCCCTCACACTAGGCTGGAACCTAGGGACCACAGAGCTACCACACTTGATTAGGACCTCAGTGGGCATAAAGCATCCAAAAGCCAGAACACACACCCAACTAAGACAAGACCAGATATTTACACCAAGAAACACAAGAAATATTTTAACTTCAGATTTGAAGATGCCAGTGCAAAAAATACAAACACCAACAGCCAAGACAAGATGCCTCCTTCAGAAGCAAGCAACCCTACCAAAAACCTGAAAATCGACCTGTTGCAATATCCAGCTTGAAAATGCTTGGGTATAGACCCAAAGTGCTTGACATGTTACTACAGAGGCAGTTGCTCATCCATGTTCACTGCTGGGCTGTTCATTACATCCATAAAAAAGAAACAGCACCAGTGTCCATGAGCTGATAGACTGATACAGGAAAGGTGACACCCTGACACAATGGAACATTATTCAGCTGTCAAGGAAACAACGAATCACAAAACTGTCAGGTGAATGAATGCATCTAGAAGCAATCATCCTGAATGGGGTAACACAGACCCCCAAAGACAAACACAGCATGTTTCTCCTTTGTGTGGATGTTTCCTTGTAAGTGTTAGACATGTGTGGTTCCATCTGAAAACAACAGAGGTTAGACAGCTGGTAAGGGACCAGGGAGGATAATAGGATCCTCCAAAGAAGGAGAAGTAAGAGTCACTATGTCATAAAGAGACAAATGAAGGGGCACTGCAGAGGTAGCTCAGTGGTTAAGAGCACTGGCTGCTCTTCCAGAGGACCTGGGTTCAATTCTCAGAGCTAAATGAAGAACTAGAATAGGATTAAGTGGGAGGGAATGGAAGGGCAAGGTAGAGGAGGGAATGGAGAGACAAAAAGCATTGAAGCCATTTGAAAAGACATATCCAAACCCACTACCACAGTAGCACCCTAAAACTTATACACATATGAAAGGAATTTCAATAGTGTCACCACATAGTGGAGAAGACAGTGCCCCGACGAGACAGCTTATGTTATCAAGAAAGATATTACATTTCCTTGAGTGCCAGGAATGTAATGAGTGCCATTACATCATGTCATTGGTCAAGGTTCCCACAAACATCACAAACTACTGCCAAGGCTACTGGTTACTGTCCATAGTCGGAATGTTAGAAGGGAGGTAAAGGTGCTTAAGAACCTATGTAAAGTAGGCTTGGTGAGAAATCTAAGCCTACACTGAGACACAAAATAGTTTCTTTTTCTGCATATGGAGATCCAGTTTTCCCAGTGCCATTTGTTGGCAAGGCTGTCTCTTCTTCAATGTATGTTTTAACATCTATCTATCTATCTATCTATCTATCTATCTATCTATCTATCTATC